CCCCCCCCCCCCCCCCCCCCCCCCTCCGCTCGCTCCCCGTCGTCCCGTTCCTCTCATTATCTCTGCGTGGTCTGTAAACTAATTCCACTGACAGCTCAGCCTGCTGGAGAGGAACCGACAGGCACACGCTGAAATTACCTCCAAATAACATTTCCCTTTGTGCCTTCCCGAGCTGATATTTCAATTAGGAGGTCAACGGGAGTAGGGTGGTGCTCAGTGGGATGGATGGAAGGCAGACAGGAATCCAAAGAGAGAGAGGAAGTGATAAGTAGCAGAGGCACACAAAGGGAGGAAGGGAGGGCAGAGGGAAAGATGGAGAGACAAGAGGGGTGAAGAGAGGACGGAGGGTGGAGAAGGAATCAGATTAGACAAGTGCTGCTTCCATCCATCCTCCCCCTCATTAATGTGTTTGCTCTCCATGTGGCCTCAGACAATGCAATAAGAGAGGAAAAAGACTCATCGTGCTATGACTGAGACTTTAAACAATAAGCAGTGAAAGAGGTCTAACCTCATCAATTTAAATCAATACATGCTGTCTTCCTTCCTAGTTGACTGTTTTAATGATGGAAGGTTGTAGGACTCAATTACAGACAGAAATGTCTTGATAAGATGAAGGTTGACAGTGTATATTCCAGGACGAATATATCGGCCATCTTGTCATTTTATTTAGCTAATTTAATGGTCCGCTCTGAGAGCTTCTCCTTGAAAATCTGTAAACCTTTTCAGAAAGGAACTGGCAGCTCCACAGCGCCCTGAGAAAGGACTATACGGACACTCAGCCCCAGCCGTCTTCAGTGGTTGCTCTATGACTGATCCTATAGCGTAGTCATGTTATCACCTGTTCATTTGGAGGCTGCGAGCTGTGTGTTCTTGATGGTCCTCCGGTAGCTAATAAAACCTCACATTCCATACCTCAGGAAGTAAAAGCTGTGACTTACGTACATACTGTGTATGTAGTGGAAAGTGGCAACCTGTTTTTCATTCCCACCTCTTCTTAACTGCTGCGCAGCAGTTACAGTTCTACGCGCGTAGGTTAACGTTGTACAAAACTACTTGGAGATGTTTGGGAGAAGATCATTGGTTTGGGTTGAAATAAGTGTGTTAAATAAGTTCCTTAGTCAACATAAATAAGTCAACATCCTGTCCTGTGTTTGTGTGAGCCATCCACCCTTCGTCAGCTGATGTTGCTGTGGATGGGTGTACGTTGGAGGTACTGTGTTGTATCTGTGTTGATGCCCAGGGCTGTGACAAACGATGGGATTTGACGACCCGGGAACGAGACCAGGTTGAAATTGCACATTAACAAAAGAATTGACAAAACAAATGTTTTCATGTAATATATTCTTAACTAAACACGTACAAACTCAGCTCATCATTGCAAGAGAAGATCTACTGGCTTCATACATACAGCAGTGGTTTATTTGCTAACAACAGCTTTTTCTATGCCTTTGTTCACTTTGCTAATCTCTGCTTCTAACACTAAACTCCACATTTGTTTGTTTCTGCCCCCTTTGGTTGCTCCTCCTCATCATCATCATCATCATCATCAGTTACTAAGAGACGGAAGGCACATCTGAAGAGGCTGGACCGCCGCTGGACCCTCGGGGGTATAGTCAACCGCCAGCAGAGCAGAGGTGAACATGGAGACAGTGGGGGCACACACACACACACACACACACACACACACACAGTTATACACTTATATACAGTTACAGTAAATGCACACATCAATACAAACCCACACATGTACCTACAAGGAATCAGATGCTGAGTCATCTTCTCTATCTACATAGAGAAGCAACCCAGCTCATGCATATGGACGCATACACACATATAGTGCATAATTGTTAGCATGTATACTTATACCACAGAAGCATTCTTAGATGAAAACTCACGCATGTTTAAACAACCTCATTTACATCCTGACTAGCCAACAACAACAGCAACAACTGGCCTTGAGGTTTCTACCTGGAGCAGCATGTTGGGTGGCCATTAAGTCAGCTCTGACCTCACTCGCTCACATGGAGCGGCAAAATAATTGGACTGCGTTGAACAGATTTGGATAATTAAGAGTCTTCGGCTCCCTCAGCACAAACCAACGGCCTTGACGACCACTGAGCCGGGAGAACATAAATGATTGTATAACAGTGTTGCCGCTTAAGTAAAGCAAGCTCCCTTAGGTTTAATGCCATGAATAACTTTTGCATTTTGCTTGTATTTATAAAAATAAAAAAAAAAGACTTTCTTTTTTTTGCATTTTTAGCAAGTTATCTGTGGTTTTGACACCTGTCCAGTTCCAGGCTTAGTCAGGGCTTCGAACAGACGTCTTGTACTTAGATTGTGTTTGTGGACGCTGGACCTGTGCGACCTCTGTAAAACCTTGTTTCTAATTATCATAGTACAGCATGGCTGGACACCTTTACCCCGGACCAGTTGGTGATTAATCAGAAGAGAATACTATGAATACAGGACAAACTACGGTGGAATGGGACGTAGTGACTGATACTGTACAGGAGACAACCCACACACACTGACATACAGGAAATATATTCGTACATAATCAACAGCATCAGGCAGCTGATGCAGGGAAAGTGACACACGTGGCCATATACCCACGACATTAAGGCGTTTTGATTCTTTTACCAGTGGCCATGGGAACATTAGTAGAAGTAGAAGTAAGTAGAAGTTTTAAAGGGTCACCGTTTACAGCACAACATCTTTCATAGACTGAAGTCAAAGCATATGAAGCCAGGCAGGAGAGCAGTGTTAGCCCAGGTCTGCAGGAACGTTACGTCTCACAGAACAGTGAGGCTTGGACCCATTGAGCCGCTGGAAAGTGTAAAAGTGAGACATCAGCCTGATCTGCGGACTGGTTTTAATCACACAGACCTCAACCTCTATGGAGCCTGGTGGATGAGTCACCCGGCTAGTTGTTGCCACCAGAGAATGAAACACTTTGAGGACATGTTCTTGAATTCCAGCACTTCAGGTCACATTTTCATGTTGCTATATATATATAGATATAGATCTATATTTATATATATATAGAGATCTATATATATATATATATAGAGATCTATATATATATATATATATATATATATAGAGATCTATATATATATACACCTAGTCCACCTAGTGGACAGGTGATCTTTAATATTCACTCCAGCTGGTTTCACAACTCTCAAAATCACCTCAATGAGGTCCCTAAAGACCAGAGTTTGTGACAGATAGGATCTTCTAAAATGAGGTCTGCATTAAGTGGAGGAAGGATCAGAAAGTGCTGAGTGTGCAGTTCTCCACCTCTCTTAAGGCCTAAAGAAAGAGCGTTGTCGCACCCCGATTGGCCAACAGGAGGAACCAAGCTGCTCTCAGTTCTTCGTTAGGAGCCGGTTCCTGCACCCTGCACAGCAGCTGATCTGAACAACCCTCCAATCAACACTCAGCTAAAGTGAACTGGGAAAATGAGAAACCAAAGAATCACTGGTCCAAGGACTATGTTTACATGCACACTAATATTCCACTATTATTCCAAATATTTTGAATAATAATAAAATATTAGTGTGATATGAGTAATGTAAACAGCATATTGGATATTGTGAATTCGGTCTTATTCTGAAGGGAGCATTTACCAATTCAGAAATGAGGGATATGCCGATATTATTCAGGTTTGAGGAGAGGGAGGCTGTTATCAGAGTATGCTCGTCTGCATGTAAACAGGAATATCAGTGGGATTTTCATTAGCCATGTAAACAGCTTAGTAGGAATACATTAGGGAAACAAAACAGAACATTTAGTGTGTAAGTGTCGGCATTGTTGATGAAGCCAGAGGACACAGTCTCACAAGGCAGCGAGTGTTTCGGGCTCCTGGGCCAGCAGCTTTTTTTCACCATCCAAAGTAGTCTCACTATGAAAACTGGACTCATGTCAAACGTAGTTTTTGTCGATTTTCCAACTTTTTCATTCACTACCTTCCCTGACTGACTGACGGACTATGACTGTCTGCCGTCATGCTTTCCACCTACTGTGCGCTGTCAGTCTCTCATTAGCCCTAGATCAATTAGCACTATGTGCAGGTACCCTAACGTGCTTAGCAACCCAAATGGCTTGGGATGGCTATTGAGGACAATAAGAGTACCAGAAGGTCAAGACAACCAAAATACAGATTCCATGTATTGTTACCTGAAAGTTCCAGCAGCAAATGTTTTACTTGTACTTAATTTCCGTTTTTGCACCTTTCTCCCGTTGTAATCCTCCCCACTGTGTTTGCTTTGTGAATGGAGACACTACTGTCCCTGCCTGATAATGCATTGCTGAGCTAGTGATAAGAAACGTGTGAGTGAGGTTTTACAGTAAGAAACAGTTTGATTTAGTAGCACTGGCAAAGGACAAAAACAAAGAGCGGCCCCGTAGGATTGATGCTCTGGCAGGATGTAATCAGCTAATGGCGTGTACTCTGCTGCCCGTTTGCTGACACACACTTTAACATTGTGCTTCATAAAGACGACGGGGGGACGTGATCCCGAGATCTTGACAATAAAATAAGGGCGCAAAACAACAGAAAAAAGAAGAGGAGCTGGACACATAAAAAATATGAAGCGTCAAAATGAATGCCAAAAAAAGTCCTCCCTTTCTATGATGAATTGAATTGCAGCACATCTCTATTTGACTCTGACACAAAGCCATGTCAGGGTGTTTGACCTCTCTGGGGGGTTGTTGATTGGTTACCAACGGCAAAGTGACCTCATTGTGATCTTGACAGGAGTGGCGTCTCACATGCCCCCCTCTGCCCTGCGGCCAGCGGCCGGTGCTTTCTCAGAGCGGGTCGCCAATCACATTTGATAGAATCCCACTGCCGTCCCTCTCAACTCACTGTTTTGTCCCTGCAGTGAGACTCTGGTGCCAACACACACACATACACACAGGCACACAGATGGACACAGAAGCACGTGTGCGCTCATGCACAAACAGAGGTGACTCTTTGAATCTTTCATCTTTAATTCCGGTCCTCAGGGAATACACCCGGCAGACACAGTGCCGGAGACATTGTTAGTAGTACATCAATACACATATTTACCTCCGTAAGCCATCCCATTTCTTATTCCCTGTCCATCTGCCAACCTCTACACACACACACACACACACACATGCTTTGCGAGCTGATGTTCAGGCCAGACATTCCACTCTGCTCCACATTATTGACCTCAGCTGCTCTGCGATGACAGCCAGCCGAGGAACTTGAATCCCTGCCGTCTGGACCAACTGTAGCGAACCCGTTGAATGCAAGCATTCACATGAACAAGCATACGCGCCTCTGAGATATTGTCCCTGACCATCACATGTCCTTGAACAATCTTGTTACCTCCAGCCATGTCCTGGCTATCTCATTTATATTGTACATGTTAGGATCCCTCCCTCCAGCCATGTCCTCCTCCCTTCCTCCTGTCAGATTTCCTGCCACTTAAAGGGACAGTGTGTAGGATTTGGTGGCATCTAGTGGTCTGGGTGTAGCTGGAAACGTTACGATAATATTTTTCTTTCTGATACAGATACCAGTACAGCGTACCAATCTGATACCAGTGCATTAAAAACAAAAATATATGTCTTATTATTATTTTGAACAGGTGTATACTACTAATCCTGGAAGGATGTGGTATGATTTAGATCATTGTCGTAAGTCCTGGCTCAGGTTAAACATGATCAAATACATAGGGAGAATAAATAGGACTTCCTTTTTTTTTTTTTATCTAGTTTGACAGTTTTGACTTTTAAATATTGCCAAATTGCTGACATTTTGCTAGCTTTGGCAAACGGTACACTCTCTGCTCGCACCTGCCTGATCAGTACTGAGCATGTGCAACCCTCAGGCGAGAAGAGAAAGAAGCGAGACGTCTCGATTGTGATGTCAAGGTGTTGATTGTGGCTAAGTGGATAGCAGGGCTGTCTTTCAATCAGCGGTTCGAACCCCGGCTCTGCTAGTTGCATGTCGATGTGTCCTTGAGCAAGACACTTAACCCCAAAATTGCTCCCGTAGCTGTGCCTATGGTGTAGAAATGTGATAGACTCTGAATTGTAAGTTGCTTTGGATAAAAGCGTCTGCTAAATGACTGTAATGTAACGTCTCATCCGTTAGCTACTTCCATCATCGATTTCAGATGTGTTTATTTTCCAGAGCTGAGTTTCACAGCCTTCAGGTAATGTGAAAACATAAAAGTCTCTCTCCAGAGCCAGTGTTTGGTTTGTCCCTTCTGGGCTACTGTGGAAACGTGGCGGTGCAACATGGAGGACTTCTGCTCCCTATGTAGAGATGAAGGGCTCATTCTAAGCTACCGGAAACACAACGATTCTTAGTTTCATCTTTAGACTGATAAAAACGTAGCTGTGGATATTATATTCCAGTGCTGCTGAAAGATTGTCTTCCTCTTCATACCATACCAGTTCATCAGCCACTGAAATAAGCTAATGTGCTTGGGAAGCTTGGTGTGATCTATCTGCCAATCTTTGGTCTCCTGCTCTTTTTGCTTTGGTATCTATAAATCCCCTAACCTTCTACTGCACCCCACTAGGCCCATTGTTCAGGATATCCTTCCCTTAAGGTTCTTGGAAGAACTCGCAGAGCGTGAGAGAGGAGCAGCGGACAGATAGGGATGTGAGAAGAGAGATCTTGGTCCAAATATCTTATCTCCTCGAGGGAGTCCCTGATGCAGGCCGGCTGCTCGAACAGGAATCTCCCTCTGGAGAGAGATGAACACTGGATCAGGGTCCAAATAGCTCTATTGAGGCCTCGTGTTGATAGCAAACAAGCAGCGACGGGGGAGAGGTTCAGCCTGTAGAGGGAGCCGGTTGTTTTTAATGTCTTTGTGTGGGTATGGAAATAGTCCCGAGCACTTTAAGTAGGTCACACTCGCCATGTTTCCCCCTCCTAAAGGCCTCTGGAAAGATGTAAACTATACAGTGGTCTAACCCCTCAGTGTAAGAGTGTTTGATGACCACAGGTGACTCACTCTGCTACTCTCTCTCTCTGTCCTTCCTCCAGAGGAGAAATACACGACCATCCAGCCGCACACCAGTCAAGGGAAGGATGAAGTGAGCTTTGAGAAAGGGGTCACCGTGGAGGTCATCCAGAAGAACTTGGAGGGCTGGTGGTACATCAGGTGAGTAAAGCGCTCGGCTCGTCCACACACACCACAGCTAAATGAGAGAAATGGGATCTGCTGTTTGTCACGTCGTTGGTGATGATGTCACATACGATGCTGCTGCATATGCGGTGTCCTGCATTCTAATGTGCATGTGTGTCTGGCTGCCTGTTTGCACACGTGTGTCATGTTTACCCACCCAGTGTGTATTGGGTGTTTATTTCTCAGTATCCCCTGATTACTATCACATGTGACATACACGTGTTCACATGCTCACATGCTCACATGCTCACACACACAGGAACGTACACAGAGCACTGCTGACGGTGCTTGTGCATATGGCTAATATGTGTATCAGCTTGTTGGGCTAGTTTCTCCTCCTCTGAATGGAGGGTGACGTGTCTCCCCTTACAGGAAAATGAGTGATCTGTGATATTCATGGCTGTAGAAATAAAATTGACTTGACGTGACGCTCCTCTGCCCCTCATTGCAACGCCCAACGAGTCATTTCAGAGCACGTTTTCCGACAGGACGTGATGCTCCAGATGTACACCGGAGCATCGCTGCTCTCAGTGGGCCGTCTTACTCCAGGGCTGTCTAAAGATGGGGCTTTTTCCTCTCTTCTGGGGACTCCTTGTGGTCGCAGCTGGAGTCCCTGCAACAAGGAAGCAGAAATGATCACATCTATTCAGAGCAGAGAACGGCCCACCAAGAGGCAAATGACTCACAGAGTTGCATTTGGAAACATTCCTTATTGTTTAAAAAAGCACTCTGAAATGACTCATTTAGCTTCACCATGAATGTGTGAATGTGGGGAAGCAGTGCCTCTTTGCATTGATTACTGAGTCTGTTTACTTGCCTTTGGCTACCTCTACATCACTACAATTAAAATGGTCTTTCAACACACATGATCCGATTTGGTGAATTTTATTACATAGTGACATGCCAGGGAATGTGCCAGAGAATGTATTCCTTTTAAGTATGAATTATGGTCAAAGCGATATCAATGCATTCTGGTAATTTAGTATTGCACCTTTCAAAAGGCAGATCACAAAAGGAGATGTCATAGTAAGATATCTAGGCCTTACTATGGGTCAAGCTCCCAAAACTTTACCCGGTGAACGTCCACACCTTTCAAACTCCATGACTCCATAAAGTGACGTTAATGTGTGAAATTGGAGCAATGCCCCTTTGAATGATATAACAATGATGTACTATCACACACCATGCAAACAGGGAGAGGATGGTAACTATTATGTCTGTCTGTGTTTACCCACAGATACTTAGGGAAAGAGGGCTGGGCCCCTGCCTCCTACTTGAAAAAGGTGAAAGAAGACTTCTCCCCCCGCAAGAAGACCCTGACAGGCCCCGTGGAGATCATCGGCAACATCATGGAGATCAGCAACCTGTTGCAAAAGAAGTCGGTCAGCGAGAAGGACATCCAGGCGGACGCAGAGGGCAGCACCACGCCGGAGCGCCACTTCTCCAAGAGCGAGATCAGCCTGCCCATGCCCTACAACTCTGAGATCAATGCCGAGACGGGCAGGAGGCTGAGCGCCGGCCGTGACACCAACAGCCCGTGTCTGGGAATAGCAGCGAGTGCTGCCCTAAATGAGAGTAAAGGGAGGGGCGAGCCAGGGTCCCCAGCTGTAGCCAGAGTGGCTCCACATAGAGTGGAAATCGGTGAGTGTTTGTGGGTCGTTAGGAGACAATTGAGCAGTAAATGCATATCAGCTATGTAGAGGAGCATTTGTAGTCTTTGTATGAGACATTAAGACTTGTCATTTTCCTTTTGTGTAGGCTTTGATGCTATAGGTAAACTACATGGTGATGGTGGTGTAATCTAATGCTCTGTCACACTAATCTGTGAGGCTATTTAACATGGGATGTTGGGATTGGGTGTCCATTTCACTCATATAGTTTCTTGTGGCATCCTGAGCATGTGTTTTCCAAGTACATGAATGATATCTCGTAGAGAAATTATGATTTAATTTGAAATCTAAAATCTATTTTGTGCCAAATATTATGCCTTTGCATGCTTTCTAAAATGCACAGTGATAACCTTTTTCACCCTAGACTCAACTTAAAGGAACGACAGTACATTAATGATCATTAAGCCATGTCTGTGTAGCTGGCCTCCATCAATTTAACCCAGATGTTATTTAGCAACCTACCAGACTGACTTACAACCAGAATTAAATGAAGGTTCATAAAACTAGGTATGTAACCAAAGCTGTATAAAAGAGTTTCCTGCTGCCGTGGAGCGGCCTACCATTCTCTGAGTGCACTAACCGATAATACTACCAGCACTACATGCTTCATCCATATACTGCAGTGTGAGGTGGGCTGGAGGTCATTGAGATAATCTTTTCTGGCAATCCTATAGTGAGACATCGAAACGAGTGCTATGAAAGAGAACTTTAGGTTACTTACATAACCTCTGGTCTCTGAGTAGCATGAGTAAGACGTCTGATTCTGACGTCTTGACTGCCAGCCACTTAGGGCAAACAGGAATGAGGCACAACTACAACTATATAGTTCTTGGCTGTTGGATGTGGGTTGAGTTCTTTGCAAATTCGTTTTAATGACATGTTTCTTTGTTGATCAGGGTCTCCAAATCTGAGACAAAAACCCCCTCCACGAAGAGAAACCAACTTGGTAAGACACTCACAAGCTACTGCTTTCTAACAATAGCCAAGAGGGCTAATGTGACTGTATGTTCCACAGAAGCATGTCAGCATCACAGAACTACCCACAGTGAACAATGTCCTGGCACATTTACGATCATAGGCTCGAGCTGAAATGTTTTTTAAGTGCAGTATAAACACAGATTAGCTATGAGAGTTGGCATAGCAACCATTAAAGCACAGTAATAACCTAACATCATTTCCGCATGTCTTTGATCATCTGAATCTACCACTGCCCACACTTAAATACTACACATACTATTATATATGTGTATGTTATTATCATATGCAGCCATAACACATCCCAACAATGATAGAGGGTGTCAGATACTTTATAATGATGGCTAGATATGTCAGCTGCTCACATCTCTTCTTCTCTGCTGTACAGGGATTCCAGTTACCCAAGCCTCCAGAGCCCCCTGCTGTGGAAGCAGAGTATTACACCATAGCAGATTTCCAGTCCTCCATCTCCGATGGCATCAGTTTCCGTGGAGGACAAAAGGCTGATGTAAGAGGCCAGATCTACATTGTTGTCACTGAGATTAGACAGTCAGGCCTCATTAATTATGTATGTTAACTCAGTGCTCCGCAGATAGACAGTAAAGCTAAGGCATTAGCGATGCAACCTTGAGATTTGTGTTTAAACGTGATGTTGATAGAATTCCCTTTGCGTAGACTCAGGTAGAGAGATGAAGATAACAACATGTTGAGCTGGCAATTCTAGACAGTGTGTTAACGTTTGTCATTAATGTCTGCGCGAGACGACTGTAATAGCAGGTGTCATAACAGCATGTCCTGGATCCTCTGATCATCTAACCCTAAACCATTCCAGTGTGCAGCATGTGTGACAAATCCTAAAGAAAGAAAAACATTTTTTAAATTCTATCTTCCATATGTCTTGTTGTGTAGGTGATAGAGAAGAACCCCGGAGGCTGGTGGTATGTGCAGATTGGAGAGATGGAGGGCTGGGCCCCCTGCTCCTACATTGACAAGCGCAAGAAGCCCAATCTCAGCCGTCGGACCAGCACCCTGACCCGGCCCAAAGTCCCACCCCCAGCTCCTCCTGTCAAAAAACAAGAGTCTGAGGACGCTCCTCCTCCCACTAACTCTTCCTCTGAAGTCTCAGAGCCGCCGAGCAGGCCTGTGTATGAGGAACCTGAATATGATATTCCTGCAATTGGATGCGAAGGTGAATCGGACACAGATTCTCTAAAGGATGAGCGTCCCCTGGGTGTAAAGATCAGCAGCGTGGCCAGCGACAAGTACCGCAGCTCCCCTCCTTCCTGCAAGGCCTCTCCTCCTGTCTGCAAGGCCTCTCCTCCTTCCTGCAAGGCCTCTCCTCCTGTCTGCAAGGCCTCTCCTCCTTCCTGCAAGGCCTCTCCTCCTGTCTGCAAGACCTCTCCTTCTGTCTGCAAGGCCTCTCCTCCTGTCTGCAAGGCGTCCCCTGTGTTCACTCATCGAAGAGCTTCCTACAGGTCAGCAGAGGAGGTTGCAAAAGATGAGTGTATCTATGAGAACGATGGCTTCAGGCCAAGCAGTGGTGTTGAAATAACTTCAGTCAAAGGTTCCAGTGAGCCAAATTCTCCAAGGAGCTACCATTCCTCCACAGTTCCACGCAAACCATCCGGATCCTCACCTTTAGCTGGTAGACCCATGAAGACCATGACGCCAGAGATGAACCGGAGAAGCCAGACTCTGGGCAGACACATAGATATCAGCTTTAGGGCGCAGGACAACAGCCCCGGCTCTTCAACAGATGAATTGAGTAGAGGCCACAAGAAAGGATCTGCCTTCAGCCGGGATGTGGAGCAGAGAATAGGTCAAAGCCCCTCCACCAGGCCCAAGCCTTCTGTCAGACCTAAACCACTCCTGACCAAATCAGAGCCCCAGAGTCCGGAGAGGATGGACATCAGCTCTTTGAGACGGCAGCTGAGGCCCACAAGTCAGTTTCGGCCTCATAGCCTCAAACCTACTCGTGGCGACGACTCTGAAACAGCCTCTGTCAACTCATCAGAGGACTCGATGTGTTCACGCAGCACCTCAGATCTCTCTTCTGTCTACTCCAAAGGGAGCCGTGGTGACTCAGACGTGGAAGGTCCCAATCTCTATCGTTCCCTGGATGCCTATAAGAAGGTCCAGGATTCTGAGATCAGCTTTCCAGCCGGGGTGGAGGTTGAGGTTCTGGAGAAGCAGGAGAGCGGTTGGTGGTACATTCGTTGGGGATCCGAGGAGGGCTGGGCTCCTTCGTACTACCTCGAACCTGTCAGACAAGTGGGGGATGCAGGTGGGTTGGACCTAGATAGACCTGGGAGTGGTGGGAGTAAGTCCAACAGCCTGGAAAAAAACGAGCAGCACGTTTTGGCCCTCAATAACATCAATATTCAGGGTCTGAGCCAGCAGCATCAAGGCTTGAGAAGGAATACTCCGCCAATTCCTTCTAAGCCTCCTGGTGGCTTCTCGAAGCCGTCCGGGATAGTTAATGGAGGTGTACGTATGAGGAACGGGGTACGCCAGGTGGCAGTGAGGCCTCAGTCTGTGTTTGTGACCACAACACAGCCAGCCAAGGGTGGACACTACATGACAGGGTCTCTGAGGCGGAATGAATCTCTCGGCAGAAGCGATCACTATGGGTCCGGTTCTGCCACTCTTGGTGTCCGCCGAAATGCCTCCTTCAGCACCGTGCGTCCACACGTAGTTGTGGAAAGTCTGACGAGGCCTGCCGGGCGCTCCGGCCTGGGGTCCTCAGGGAGCGCATTCAGCACAAGCAATGTCCAGGACGCCCTGAGCAGAGTTAACCAACGCAACGGCATCCCTGTGTCCACAGTTCGACCTAAGCCCATAGACAAGAGCCAACTGATCCACAATAACCTTGGCAGGGATGTGTACGTGTCCATCGCTGACTATCGTGGCGATGAGGAAACAATGGGTTTCACTGAGGGCACTTGCCTGGAGGTGTTGGAAAGAAACCCCAATGGATGGTGGTACTGCCAGGTGCAGGACAGCCTGCTTCCCCGCAAGGGCTGGGTCCCCTCCAACTACCTAGAGCGGAAGAAATAAAACCAACCCCACATCCTCCCCCTCCTCCTCCTCCCCCTTTTGATGTCTTCAAGGACGTTGGTGGCATCACTCCTTAAGAATGTTACCTGCACTCTCATGTAAGCAATATGTCCATGAAAATGTACGTTGACGACTGCGTGTAAAAAGACAGATATTTTAATCTGATTAGGAAGGACACTTTTAGTGCTGGTTTACTAAAGATTGTGTAAAGATTTCAAATATTTTGGCTGGGAATGAGAGAAAGGAATGTGGGATTGGTCATCCGTGAGAGAAGGAATTTGAAGAGGACGGTGTCTTTTAGATAGAACATGGTATGAATGGGAGTGATAACCTCTTAAAGAGGTTTGCATCATGTAGTGAGAAGCAGCAAAATGGTTATGCTCATTCCTGCCCATCACTGACGCTGATGGCCGATAAGTGCCTTTTGTATTTGATCACCTGAATAGAGGTCTTAATGGTGGATGGCAAAACGTTAAATCAACCAAATCTTTTAGAGTGCCATAGGCCTACGAAGACCACCAGGAGTATTTCCATAGCACATTAAGAGCTACACTTTTGAGTGCAAACAAAGTGCAAAGTTTCGAACTAGAGAGCTGTAATTGGTCCAACACAAATTTAAGAATAAAAAACAGATTTAAGTGAGAATTTATTCGCTTTAAGGCGCAAGTCATCAAGCAAACTAAAACATCATTTTAATTTCATTATCCGTATTTTTTTATTTAGTTTCATTGTTCATGTTATAATGTCTTGATTTGATGCAAATCTTAGAGAATTATTTCTGCTTTCTTGTGACATCTGTTTTCACCCACAGCCTACAATTTGAAAAGTTAAAGCTCCTGCCTCGTGTCACGTACCATCTGACACCAATATGCAGGAGGTTCTCAGCTTTCATGAATTGGCATCGTTTTGTCTTAGAACCCCCGAGCCCAAGAAAGATTTGTTGATATTAATGCTTTCAATTAGCAAATGTATAAAAATATACCTGTGAAACTTGAAAATAACAGATCTTTTAGTTTTCTGGAAAATCAAAGAACAACTCGTGAGTTTCTCTCTCGAACAAAACCAGCTAATAACCTCAAAAGATGAAAACAATGACAAAGGTTTAGGTTTACTGCAGTGATTTTAGGTGCACATATTTAGTTTTACCACTGTTACAGAGATGTATTGAACAAGTACTGGAAATGTGGTGAAATAATTGACGTCCAGGGACATATTTGCATAGAATTTATCCCAAAATGTGATCAAACCAAAGACACATGTCATTTCATTGGCTACTTTTGTGATTTTATAGTAAGTAATACAGTGTGTTCAACAAAATGCCTAAAAACAAGTTTTATGAACTAAGAAAAATCTGTACCTGGAAGCACTTGATTCATTTTCTCAAAATTACAGATCTCTAAAACTAGAAGTAAACAAGTACATTATAATATTAGATATTGCTGTGCAGTATTAGTTTTACACATAACATACTGTAGAAGACAACATAGCATAGGGTATAGATTTGTTTCAAATTTTCCAAAGTATTTTTTCACACTTTCAAATTACAGTTGGGTATCATATCATATATCATATCATATAAATAAGACTTATCAATTCTTAAAAAGTGTCAAGTTCAAAATAATTCTCTGCACATGCAGAAGTGAAATATGAGAAAGTGACATTCTGAGCTAAAATCTTAACTTTCAAAATTCAAATGGCTGATGTTGAAGACTGCTGAAATACATTTTCTAATGAGCGGTGTGAGCTCTCTGTATGAGGCTGAACACTAAGGTGTCATTACGTTTCTGCTGGACAGTACCACAGTATTAAACAAAGCACAGTACCTGCTCGATCGCAGTTATCGCTGTTTGTCAATTTGTTACTCTGTGATCACACGGTGACAATAACGAGGAACGAAGTGGTTCTGTTTTGTGATTTAGTGCACTCTAAACCTGATCTATGGTGCATTAATGTGAAGATGCAGTGAATACTCAGCATTTAATTTATTGAAAAACATTTTTGTAATTATTTAATTTCTCTCCATTCTTTTTTTCCCCATCACCTCAAATGAGAGGTGGAGCTCTGTCCGTGACAGCGACCATGGCAAAGTGTGACTAGAATTGGAGAAGTAGAGCCCTCTAGTGGGAGGTCAGAGGTACTACAACAGTATCTCTGTCCCATCCCCGAGGCTTCCCGACCGTCCTGCCTCAGTGTAAGAAGAAACGCACTGCTGGTCAGTGACCAAAAACTGTACAGAATTTTCTGTTTTATTTTTATAATTTTATTAATCTCAGTGCAGCTATGATTTTTTTTTGTATTGGGCAATAATTATAATTAATTATAAATTCCATTTTTCCTTCATGCTGTGTGCTGCAACTTTAGCAAATCACGGGCACTTCCTTCATCTTTATTGTGCTTTACATAATGCCGGATTTTAAATATATTTATTATGAATAGTTTTATATTTTATCAAGGTTTGACAATCGCCTTATTCCCCCACTCAAAATATTACCTTAAAGCCAGTCAGACGACAAAATAATTCAAAATATCATAATTTAGTAGGAATGTTTGAGATTTTTGCATTCATTGTAGAATATGGAAAATCTAAATCTAACCACTTGTGGATGAATACTAAGATTAAGATTGAAAACAAGGCCCCCACCCATCCAGACGAAGGCATTATGTAAATGTGTTCAATCACTTTGTACATTTCACTCCAGCACATATTATTATTATTATTGCATATTGCTTCTTTTGATTGATCTGAATTTACTGAAACAGTAAGGGAATTGTTCTCTGAGAGGCTTACACTTACCTGTATAGCATCTGTCTTTAATCAAGCTGTTACCTTCTTCTTTTCCAATTTCCCTTTTTTCAACCCCAACTTCTGAAATGTAACCGTGAGGAAATGTGCAATAGATCAGAAAGGCATCATGCTTCAACAAGAGGGATACTATCACAGGAGTGGATATTCCCAGTCAGACTGCCAGGCGTGAGCTTTCACCGTCATTTCAAGTGTATCGTTAGAGGTCGATCTGAAAGAGCCGATGTGAGAGGCCCTGATAGCGATGAGGACTCCTTGGACCGAAAGTGTGACGTCTCATCGTCTCCTGACTTTTATAACGACAGCATGAGAGTCAGCGGTGGACATGTGCTTTGTGACTGTGCATAGCAGAACCCCCTTCTGTACTGACATTACAGCCATCAGGGGTCTTCTTCATAGACGGAGAGTCAAGGGCCCATCATCAGGGGCCTCATTGGCCCTGCTCTGAGCTGTCACGTTCGTGCCTGAATGGAATTTTGATAGTTTTCTGTTTTTTTGTCTTGTTGTTGTTGTTGTTTTCTTCTACTTTTGTTGTTGTTTGCTTTGTGGAGTGTGTCCCTCTCTGCACCTACGCGATGCCTCTCTACATTTGTCCTCCTCTGTGGAGCCGAGTCAGACGTTCTCCTCACCAATCACCGCGGTGAAAGGTGACATTTGGAGGACGGGAGAGTAAACAAGAGCGGGGAGATTTCAGGCCATTTCACATCAATCTATCAGCTTCCAGGATGTACGCCAAAAAAATAGAAAAGCCTTTATTTTTCTCTTTGCCTTATCCATGTGTGACAGGTACGTCATCGTGCTAACGACTTCCTGTATGTACAGGCCAATAAGGCTGGAGTCCATGAATCCTTTAGTCGGTAGAGTTTGCAGTTCAAGTCCGGCTAAAGTCGAATCTGAGATTTGTTTCAAAACGAATATAGTGCTGACTTGTGGCGCCAGACCGTTGAAGTGTTGAGGAGCCTGAAATCATGGCTGCACAAAGTACATGCACGGTAACATTCTGCAGTGTGTGTGGTAGCTGTCCAGATGTAACCAGCCTTCAGAGCACAACATACTGCTTCTTTCATCACCATCCTAAAACATCATTTTATAAACTTCCTGTTTTTTTTAAATCATTTCATTTGGCGGGGTGTTCTCAAAACACGTTTTTTTTTTTTTTTTGCTTTACCCGGACTTTAAACGTCACCTTAAAGGAATACTCTGAGAAATATCTTGATTTGTTTTCTCTCTGAGAGTTAGACGAGAAGATGGATGAAAGTGTGCTTGGTCTTTTGTCACTCACTGATGTGCAGAATGCTCTTTCCAAATTCATCTGCTGAAGACGGGAGTTTCTTTGGCTTTCTGTGGACAGAAGCAGGCCATCTGTGAAGCTAAGCTAACTGTCTCCTGGCTCTCAGTTTGGTGTTTACAGTTCAGACATGAGCGCATGCTATCAATCTTCTCATCTATCTCTCTGCATAAAAGTGAATTAGTGTATTTCACAAAACATTTCTAACCGCTCCTTTAAGTGACGGGCTCCTTCTTCAATGGGCTCGGCCTCTGTTAGCCACATTGGCGGCGGTATTTTGCATTCATCAGGACGAGTCATTCACACCAGAGGAAATATATATACATGAGTTTCTCGACATATTCCCCCGGAGAACCAGCAGGGTGAGACGGCTCTGCCACGCCCGCACCCTGCTTCATACCCCGCTCTCTTTTTATTCCAGCAGATGGGCGACACCGCTCAGGCGTGAAGCACCTTAAACACTAATCCCAAAACCCCCGAGCTGCTGCCGCAGGCGTCTTCCTCCTCGCTGCGCTTCTCTTCCTTCCTTCTCCCTCCTTCCTCGACACAGATAAGCAGTCTATTCCCGCTGAAAAAGGATTGAGATCTCTAGGAGGGGTCGGGTGTGTGTGTGTGTGTGTGTGTGTGTGTGTTTGCATGAGGAGATGGATTGCTTGCAGGTGCACTCGAGAGAAGAGAATTTAGGGGTCAAGGAGGAGATTTTGGGAGTGCAGGATGCAGGGAGGCACAAGATGGATCAGGTAGGGGATTCTAGGAGACAAGGTGAGAGTGAGGTGAGAGGAGCTCTGCTTTGATAGGTGCAGTTGACAGGATTGGGGGGGAGGGGGGGGGGATAGATCTTGAGCCCAGATCTCGTTCCTCCAAACGATGATTTAATTGATCCTTCTGCAAGTCGGTGAGTGACGAGTGAGTTCAGCCGCTTCTCTCAGTCTCACTCCTTCTATGGAATAACTTTTAAAAACTGATCCAACATCTGCTTGTAGCTTCTTTTACTGTCAGTGTCTTCAGATCTTCTGCAGGCCCTGAGGGTGTGAGCGCTTGAGCTTGGTGTTATACGGTTGTTGTTGTTTTTTTTGGAATAAGACACAAAAAAATGGCTTCACACGTTGGATTCCATGTCCCCCTTTTTCTGTCTTATTCCTCAGTGTCTTTTGCTGCTGAGAGAAATGATAGAATGTTGTGAAAGTGTAGAAGGATAGGAAGCGTTTGCTCACATCTAATGAGACAAGCGTTCATTGATGATAGAAAGAAATCAAAAGGTCTTATGAAGGCTGGTGTTGATAGAAGGACGGGGTAGGTTTGATAAGTAAGTTTTAGCACGTGTGTGGGAGCAGGGTGGAGGTATTTAGGGAGATGATTTTGTAGGTTTTTAATTAACATGAAGTTTTAGTTTGAGCGCGAGTGAAGAAAGAGAAGAGTGAGCGAAGCTGCAGGGCCAGGCCTAGCTGTGAAGAAGGGAACGCTGATTATTATTTGTCATTCTGAAAACTTCCTTCTCAGAGTCACAGTTGTTTGAGGCGCCAGCGGGGGGGATCAGCGGGAGCTGCAGAAAAACAGGCTGTGTGGAGGAACGAGGCGCGCAGCATGTGTCTCTGTGGCGCCTTTCTTTGTCCCCGTTTGAATCCCGGTTTCCAATTAGCACAGCAGTGCGTCTTAATTAACCTTTGCCAGTCAGACGACACTCCGGCGTCGAACAGCATCCTCATCAAGAACACTGCGCCTTGCTGCGCTCTGCGTGGGGAGCCTCTGGTGCCATATTCATGCTTTGGAGGCGAGTTGTCCAAAGTGATAGCTGTTGATTCATGAGGAGGTGCAGCCTGTTTTAGCCTGGATGTTGCATTTACAGAAACAGAATTTGTCACCGCCCTGCAGTGGAGAGCAGTGTGCCAAAAAAAACTAAAAAACTCTGGAAACCCAACGCCATCGAGCTCTTGATCTGTCAGTTCTGACAAAAAAAAAACAGTCCGTTACCAGCATGTCGACCACTCGAACACACACAATAACAGGTGGAGGCCTGGATTTGGACCAAAGGAAGGTGCTTTTCTGTTATTTTCTTCGTTTTATTACTATTGTTGTTATGCAGATTGTGTTTCACTCTTGCAAGCTCCCTGTTTTCAAAAGATATGCCATGAGGAGACTGAGAGGCTTCATCCTCCAATCAGGAGTCATGCATGGTGACAGGGCCACGCACCTATCTGTCCAACGCACCCCTATACTGTACACTGGTGCACGAGGACAAGTCCTTTCTGATTGAGACACCCTGCACATGTGCGTTCCTTTTGAATACAGGGCATTTTCTTATCTCCCGTTTCATTTTGACAAGTCTTGTTCTTTTTTTTGTATCTTGTACATGTTTACATTGTATCTCGCATCGCCCAAAAGAGGAACAATATTAAATGTATTATCGCTGTTGTTTTATTCTGACTCCTTTTCATTTGTCTCACACTTCCGGTCGCATCTGCCACTGCAGATAAAGAGCAGCGAACCCGCTCTCTGCTCGTGGTGATAGATGGTATGTGACAGTAATATTACAGAGTGAGACATTTATCTTTATTCGCCTTATTGTGCCGGCCAGATTAAGTGAGTTTAGATGTGGACAGGCAGAACAATGCAGATGGTTGTGTGTGTATATATATATAGTGAGATATGAGTTATGGGAGAAAAGTGCGAGGAGGTTGAGAGCGATGAATGAAGACGAACGAGCTCTCGGGGCCCCGGTTTCCCACTAAAGACGAGAGACAAGAATTTTGTCCCTCCTGTATCCAAACGTGTGTGGAGAGATTCATCATTTATGTCCAAAGTTACATGAAATATATGCTTACACCTGTGTCCTAATCACCTCTGACAGCCAAAGGCCTACAGGTCTGAGGAGCACATTAGATGATTAGAGGACCTGCTCCCTACGTAGAGATGAAGGCTCATTGTACGCTCACAAAAACACAACCATTCTGGGTTTATTTTAACTGAAAGCATTGTTCAGATGCTACCAGTAGTACATTATGATTATATAATTATGTCATGGCTGTATATATACTATATAAATGTGTTTCTGTCCTGAGGTGGTAAGTCCAATATTCACTCCACTAGTAGCTAGTTAGCTCAGTTTGTGTCCCCTCAGATATCTGTCTCTTCAGCTGCTAAATGCTGCGCTATGTTCGCTAGCTAGCTGTTAGCTCTGTCTGTAGTGTACAGTGGGTTTATCAGAGCTTAAGCACTAGTGTAAAGATGCTAACAGGCTCTGTAGAAGGGAGAAACTGCAGTCAGGTGACGGTTTTGGAACCACGATTGATACCTCACACATTTTACATTGTCATTTTACCCATTGTTAATATGAAAATATTGATTAGTGCAGCTTCAATCAGTTGTATTTTGTAAATATTAAACCTTTAAAAAAAGATGGCTGACCTTTCAGCTAGTGGTAAAGACAAACAAACAAGTTGTCTCAAGCTCCATCAGCTAGCTTTTGTCAGACATAAGGATGGACTTTGTTTCACATAGCAACAGCTGGTTCAGTGTGATGGAGACTGTTCTTATCCGTCCACTGAAGAAGACCTTAAGATGCTGGTGAAAGCTCCGGAAAAAGCTGGTCAGTGGACCTTGAGTTAATAGTTTTTGGTCAAACAGGTAATTCATTTTATCCAAAGTAATCTTTTTTTTTTAACTGAACCCTTCATGCTGTGACCATACCACAGTCTGTCCACTAGATGGCTGTCTGGAGCCGGTCTGGCTGCAGCCTTCCTCCAAACAGCACCAGTGTTGAGAGGACAGACACATCTACCTCTAAATAGACCTGCACGTTACAAAGTCAATATGTACGTTGACATTGAGTCTCCAAACGGAATTCTTTTAAGATGGGCACTTTTTATACGGCAGAACCAGTACGATTGGTTGACAACATTGAACGATGACGACTCAGATGAACAATGACATGAAATAGATACTCTGGTCTGGATTGTTCTTTTCCTGAGATTATCACTCATTGTATTCATCTCCCTTAGCCTCTTCTTTGATATGGACATGTCACGAGTCGGTCTATTACAGATGGATGTCTATCGAGGAGCTCTGAAAAGACATCTGGTTGAGGTGCCTGAAGAATTTGTAGTGCAGTCAATTTGGTTGGAGCACATCTACAGTTTAGGGTGCAGGTATGTCCACTGATCTCCTAATCCCCTACCAGTCACTGTAAAGCCCCCCCCCCCCCCCCCCCGCAGCTGTGGCTGGGACAGAGGCCGCAGCACATGATGTAACAGAGGGCAGGGCGGCCCCCCCACACCACTCAACATTGTGTTTCACACAGACCTCAAAGTGCACGGCTGGCTACATCCGTTTCAGGCCAACTCACATTCTGCCTTCTTTAGGCGCCGGTGTCAAAGGTCAAGTGCATACAAACACGATCAACACTCCATTTAGGATGTCCGTTGTTAAACCAGCAAAGAAGAAATACCATGGAACATAACGTGAAGTGGAGGCAATGTAGCAACTGTTTGAAGCGAATGCTAACACAGTCTCATAAGTACAGTTATACATGAGATAAGAGACACAAAGAAAGACTCACTACTTCTGTTAAAGAAAGTAATGTGGTGTTAACAGTTCACTCTTGACCTTTGCATCAGTAGTTGACAAAACAATCTTCGCTCAAGGTCCACTTACTGGCTTCGTTCTTCATCAGCAGATGGAGTTTGTCACTTGTCATGGAACGGTGTGGGTGTAGAGTGGGTGAGAGCACTGTGTTAAAGGCTCAATGTTTATAAAATCCATCTGATTAAGTCATCAAATATATATCTGAGCTTGTGCAAATACACTAAACGACCGCTAGCTAGCATGTAGTCACGACAACTTGAAGGGGATTGCCTGATTGTCAGTGTTGTGTCCACAGCTTGTCGCACTGCCCCAAAGTAGTAGAAAAGATCAATCCCCTGACAGGGAATATCATACATGTATCTGCGTCAGTGTGTTATTTCCCTTATGAACAAACTGTGCACATCTGAGCTCTCACCGAGTGAAACACGAGATCAACACAGCTCAAACACATCTGGAAAGTTTATTCACCACAATCATCCGACTCGCACTGAACAGCGTTCAGGAACAAATACGTGATGTTTCAAAAGAAAAAGAAAATACAGGTTTGTAAAGTACTTCAGCAGTTGAGTCTATATATAGATCTAGATCTATATCTATATATCTAGATATATAGATATGGTTCCAGTCTACACCAACACTGACAGCGGTCCACTCGGATGCTCGTCTACTGTTGGTCCCCATGTTCACACAGAGTGAACAGATTACTCAGGCATTACAAAAAGTACTCTAAACGTGCTGCTGTGTGATTGGCCGCACACAAAGAGAAAGCAAACACTTAGTCCACACGTCGGTGATGGACAAATAAATAGTACAATGACAGGATCAGCTACATTCAAGGAGCCTGCGGAGTATTCTGGATGCAAACAAATAATACAAAATAAAAATACCTTCAGTAAAAAGGTATGTATATGTATACTGATGAAAATCTTCAGCCAAATGGTTTTTGGCTTGGTGTGTGTGTTTATCAATTCATATGGTCCAGAAATTTATAGATGTACATTTTTAAAAAGTCCAGGACTTCCATTTATGTGATGTGAAAACAAAACAAAATAACCAATGATTCAATTTGGTCGGAGTGTCAAAAGAAAACATGCCGTGGTTGAGTCTCAGAGAGCAACGCTGGCCTAAACATGAACAATATTACAATCAGTAGCTTTATAAAGTGACATTTATCATGACCATTCAGAGATGGCTTCCAGACCCAATAATGACAAGAAATATACTTAAAGAATGGGTAGTAGGGCTCCCTAACACAGGTTAATACACAAGAAGATCAATTACCAAAAAAGAGCTCACAAAATTCAAGAGTTTATATGTTGCACCACAAAGCAACGGGCTTTTGATTGTGTACTGCAATATGTCTTATTGCTGCACGGTACGAGAAACTCTATATTCTCACTAGTAGAGAACAAGAATGTAAAAACAGGAAAACAAATCTTAGAATCATGATTATCAATAAGGAGGAAACTTGAAAACAAACAAACAGACAAAACATTTTTTTCTTTGTTTTTTTGTTTCAAATCAAGCACACTGATAAAAATCATTAATCTCTCTAAATACATAAGTTAACATTCAAAATGTGAATTAACACTTCAAGCAGTAGCGTAATCAAAGTGTAATGTGGGAGGAGGGATGTGTGAAACATCACTGACAGCATTCGCCCAGAGCGGGCAGCTGGCAAATAGCATAGCAGCAAAGGTTTGAGCCCCGTGTGTAACTATCTACAGAAGGAAGTAGAGTGTCATTGAAAAAAAGACAACCGTCTCTCAGCGCGGGCTCTCCTGTGATAAGCTATGGCTTACTGCTGAGTTGCTGTCTATGAAGGTGAAATCTCTGGGGGACGTATCAAGACATTTTGTAGTGGAATCAGGGGATAGGAATCACACAAATATTCAAAATATGAAGGGATTTTTGCTGCTGGTGAAAGGCCTGTCACAAAGGTCATCAAACATTTTATATATGTTTGATGACCTTTGGAAATATTGGAAATGTTGTGAATTTATGTTACAAAAATATTTCTTTTAGATGTGTGTGCTTTGTTTCTCCTCTGAGTGAACCTTTTGTGCCACACAACAGCATTATTTGGTAATGTGTCAACGGCAGGACACATCCACATGAGCCTCCTCTGGTTTAAGGCAGGAGGCTGTGCTGCATCTGTGGTGGCTTCTGATACCATGGCAACGATCCTTTGACTCCTGCGTTGTCATGGGAACTATTTCAGAGCACCTGTCCATTCGTCATGAGCGCTCACAGTGTGTTAGGCGTGATGTAGGTAAAGTTTGGGAGGATAGTAAAAAGATTGTTGGCCCTGAGGAGAATCCAAAATCACTTCCTGTTTCCTGTCATAGATTCAGAGCTGCTGAGTCTGCTGGACGCAGGTTTGTGGATTGTTTGAACCGATGAATGTCTTTACCCTAACTTTTCTGAGAGGATGATGCTGATTTCAGTGCAACATACCACATTGCAGAGCAAGCTGCTAGCTAGCACGACGATATAGCTACCACCGACATTTGCAATAGAACTACCATAAAGGTACATTATATTATACGAGTACAAGAGGTGTTACAATCCTAATTTATATACTCAGTTCCGCCTTCCACCTCTACGCACATCACTCACTGATAATCACCACGACAGTCACAGAGATCCACCACGTCATCGCTCCAGACTGAATGCTCAGTAACACACAGACACAAGTTGTGACGTACTGAGGTGAAAACCTGTCAGAACTAAGTCAGAGCTTCAGTCGTCCTCAGAGAGAATGGTTATCAACACATTCAGCCCCAAAGTGACTCGTTTGCTTCGGTGCAAACTGGGGGTGACAGTCCCTAAAAACATGGCTCAACAAATGAAATCATTTTTGGAATTGTTTCAGTTCTTCAGTCCTCTCGTTCACAGTCTTCCAATGATCCCAGCAGAGAGCAAACGCTTCTGGTTAGAAGAAAGTTCTCAGTGGAACCTCCGACCTCTTCATATGCCGCCTCTGCAGGGACAAGAGACCTTTCCAGCCAGGCAATACCGACTTTGGAAAAGGTCATGCGAGCGAACAAAACAATTCTGTGAATAAACCAAATTTAAAGTCCCAGAGTTCATATTTCCTGAACTTCGACACGTCTTCCCCTGATCTTGCTGTTCTGAGGGAGTCCGTCTGTCCGTCCCCTTTACGTGCTGCGGTAGGTTTTGATGATGTCTTTGATCTGCCTTCTGCAGATGGGACAGCAGGCATTGGACATCTTCTTGAGTTTGAGGCCACAGCTGTAGCACAGACACATGTGTCCACAGGCGTAGATGACCGTGTCCACGGGGTTCTCGTAACAGATGGAGCACTCGTCGGACCAAGCGCGGCCCGTTGGAAATGTCGGTGACTTGGGGAGGCTGACTGGTGAATTTGGGGTTGTTCCTGTGGAGAAATTGGAATTAAATCTTTTTATCTCAGCCACAGAAAAGCAGTATGTTTTTTATGAAATGAGTAAATCTATCACGAGTAGAGAGAAACATTTGTCACGTAAAATAAGTCTGTTTGTTACGTAACAGAACTAAAATAATGGGTGTCATATGGGACATGAACAGTCTCCTGCGTTAGTTTAACCCGTCCAGCCTCATCTCCCACCAACCCACCTTTATCTTTCTCTCTTTATACAGCGTCAGTGGCTCTGAGCGTCTAATACCGACGCTGATGGCTTTACATTAGAGTTAGTTCAGACGAGTTTGGGTTAGAGAACATGTTGACCAATCAGACCTTTGCAAGCAGGCTTAACGTCTTCTTTCATGGTTAGCTAGCCTCCTAGCTAAGTCAACTTACAGAATTAATAACTTTTAAATGGAAATATTTCTTTGTTGCTCCTCGCAACCGTGGGTGCAGCTAACGTGTCCACTTTTAGGACATGTCAGCTGCACCACTTGCTACTAGCCTTCACCAGTCAGAAGCAAGAGATGTATCCAACTCACCAGCATATTTTGTCAGTGGATTTCAGTACACTTTTAGTACATTTAAGATCCAAAACACCTCCCTCTATCCAGCAAGTAATGAGCTCACACGAAAACGGCATCCAGCTAAGTTAATGAAGTGAAACTAAATGGCAGCTTCTCATGTGTGGGACGTTTTCATCAGGTTTATGTCTGGCACTATGTAAACAAACGGGTTGCATCAGGTCCATTTACATAACCAAACACGTCCCTATACCTCCAGCTGCAGCTGCAGCAGCAGTGGGACCATGAAGTGCTGGCTATTGTTCCTAACATCTGCTCACTGTCCCATAATGGTTTCCACTACGCCCCCCTGTGGTGTGATTGATGCTGAGCTTCTGCAGAGGCATCTCCTCATATCCGGGTGTACCTACCCCCTGCTGAGCTGCAGTACGCAGCGGAGCACAGGCCTCCGTTCAGCACCAGATCAGAGCTGCCACTGCCCAGGGCGCTGGGAGTGTGTGGAGAGGAGGAGGGCGAGCTGGGGTTCGACGAGGTCCGCGGATCCCCGAGGTGAGTGGAACCTAGTCCGAGCAGATTAAAGGAGGGGATTAGAGGTTTGATTTGATCCGAACGCCAATTACTTTATTCAGTAACCAGCTGTCATGAATCTATAGTGGAAATTGCCTGAGTGACATTACTGGAGATTGATAGAATATTGTATTAGTCAGAATATAATCTGAATGCAGGCTGACCGACATGGTGACAGGATGTAACAACAACAAATAGCACAGAGAAGGAAATGAACACTGTAAGCCAAATAAGAAGAACACATCCATGGAGTGCTCTCAAAGCAGGTTAATCATGACTTCTTATAATGAAAGTGTCATATAAAGTGACATAAAGGCACAACTCATTACAGCTAATAGGTCTTCTCGGAGACGCCTGCTCTTTTTATTGTTTTTCTTTTGTTTCTCATTTGGTCGACAATAAAATACAAACAATGAACCAGAGCACAATCAACTTGTTTTCATTATCCAGGTGTTACATTTAAAGTCACGAGAGAACAGTGAGAGCACTCCAATTTGTGAGAGCAGTCTTTTTTTTTTTCAGTGTGCACATATTTATCACTCCTCTGCCTTTTTTAGAGAGTGTATTTTAAAGCAGTCCTCCAGTCTTTCCGCATTCTGCCTCGACACGACGGTCGGGGAAACAAATGGGAATTCCGTGAACACATGTTGAAATGCCTGTGATGCCTGGAAACACAGGTCAGGCATGACAGACGGCATTCAAAGTCATTGACTAACACAAGTTGAACGTGTGACCTTGGAGCTGCACTAATCAATATTTACATGTTAGGAACGGATGAAAGGACTATGTGCAGTGTGTAAGGGGCCGTAAACTGATTTGTTTCAGGCAGCCAGCAAATGAATAGTTGGTTCAGCAGATGAAACGCTGGATGCTTCTCTCAGTGGTTGGGAGACCAAAACAGAGCTGAAAGTGGAGTAAATGTTAGACTACAAATTTGTCAGGTGGCCAGAAACATTTGAATGCTAAGGTGTCTCTTTGCTAACACATTAGTCATATTCCTCGGTTCCAAAGTGGTTGAAAAAAAAGGAATTAATGCAGCTTTAAAATTTCCATTTTGCCCAAAAGGACAGTATCATCAGGGACATGCAACATTGTGGTGCTTTATACAAATAATAGAATACAGCAGTAGGTGTTTCCTGAGGGCAATGCCTAATGTCACTGATCTTGTGGAATGCTCTGTCATCTGAAATAACTTTTCATAGTTTACCATCACAGGTAGGCCAGCCACACCAAAATACCCAACAAATTTAAATGCACCTGAGCTTTCTGGCAAAGCAAGCATGTAATCGCCAACTAAGAATTCCCATCAAATGCTGTGCTGCGTCTCAGCGTAGCTGCAGATTACTTTAATTACCTTCCCTGAAGCTTGCTGTCAAAAAAATAGCACACTAACAACGGCATCAGAAGTCAGCTGCTGTGTGCTCATTAGATATTTAATCATCCTATTTCAGGACCTGCTTTGTTTCTAAGAAGCATCGCTCCACTGTGGTGAAGCGTACTGAGGAGCATTTCATGTGTGAATGTCACCATCAACACTGACCAGTAACATCACGACGAATGTCCCATCTGCACCAGCGGTGATCAATACAACTGATGCCCGGGGCCAGGGGCCAATTTCTCTACAGGGCCAAACAATAACAGAGTCACTCGGATTTAGAGCAAATCGATCATCTACAGCAGTGGTTCCCAAACCTTTTCTGTCAAGCCCCCCTTTGATGATATAGGAACATTGTAAGCCCCCCCCCACCGCACCCCACCCACCCCAAACTCTAAAAGAAATAGCAATAATAAAATCCATTTCCAAAAAGATTGGACTTTAGATTGCTTTCAAGTAGTGCTTTCAGACATATTAATTGCATTACATTCTTCAATATATTTTCAAGTAAAATTAACTTCAAATGTTAAAAACTTTTCCCCATTTAACAGGTTTTTCAAACTGAATTAGTGTGCAAGAAAATAAAGAATCCTACATATAGAATAATGACCAAAGACAAGAGGTTACTCAGTGCTTTCTCTGCATAGATCACATTCTTATGCATAGGCACATTCCTATTACTACATAGAAATTGCTTTCTGACGTATTCATTTGTAAATAAAATTAATTTAATTATTTTAAGTGCAAACAACGTATATTTCCCCACATTTAGCAGCAGGTTCTCTCTAACACGAAAATAACACATCCAGCAATGATTGATGTGGATTTACTTTGTTGTGATTGCTTTCAATAAAAGCTTTTTGTGACATACAGATGCAGCTTTTACAGAGTGACTCTGCTGGGCATGACAGTTTTCCAATTTCTTTTTTTGAACTCAAGGTGCTTGTTTACATGTTCGAGGGTGGTGGGTTTCCAAGTGTCTTTTTAATGTAGTGGGCTTCATACTGTCTGCCGCCAGTATTTTAGGACACACAACACACCGGGGTCTCTCTTCTTGGCCGACCATAGTGCTTGTAAAGCACAGGGACAGATACGCCTCCTTATATTTTCTTGCTTTTACCTTTTTTTGTGCCGGTAAGATATCTTGCTGAATGAGGAAACGTTGAGTTGGCTTGATTGTCAATTGTTTCCGACACAGACTCCATGCTATTTTAGCCTCTTGAGGCCTTAAAGGTCCACTACAAAAGGAGATCTAAGCAGCTAGAGAAAGGCTGTGAGTGTTGATCAGTAAATCACTGTGCCACTCTACAAGGTGCTACTCCACTCCTCATGTTGCGCCTCTCATCGGATTACTTGAGCCTGATCACCCTGCAGCCCTGTAGCATGAGCGGTTCCCCACTGGAGCCGAGTCCTCTTTCTCTCCCATCCCTCCCTCCCTTTCTTTGTCCATCTCTCCCTGTTAATCCCCCTGGCAGGCAAGCAACTGCCATCCAGGGCAGCTGAGGCAGGATCTGTTCTGCCCAGCCCTGATCCCGCCACTACATCAAACCGACCTGTGTGAACAGCTGCCCGTCTGAGGCCACATCTCTGCTGCTAACTACTTCAGCAATGCTTCCAGCTTTAGCATCTATGGGAGGTATGCAGAGTATGTGATGAGGGAGGTGGGTGGCGATGCAGGGTGGAGGACGGTGGAGGGCTTGGGGCTTAGCATACGTGTGTGTCGTAGGATCGCAGCCTTCAGGCTTGTGTGAGCCACAGCTTTGGGTCCTTTTTTACAATACAACCTGAAGGGAGGGAAGGGGTTACATGTATAGACTTAACATGCACCAGAAAGAACGAAAAGAGAGGAAGGATCCTTGCAAATGTTTGAGTTGGTCATGCTGTATCCTCAAAGCGTTTCACGATGGGTGACTCTTGTTCTGAGGTATCGGGACAAATGTGGCTCAGCTCTGTTGCGTGCACGTGTTCAGATCGGATGAGAGGACAGCAGCTCTGAGAGTAGCACTTTAAGGTCATGGCTTCCCCTGCTGCACGAAATGTTAATAGTCTCTTCTGTCCGCGGTGGAGATATTATCTTCAAAGACAAAAGAGCTGTTTTGGAGGGAGGACCCGGTCGTACATCTCTGAGCTGTTCACTTTAATAGGTGCAGTGAGGAGAGTGTGTTTGCTTCCATACTCATGTATTAACGCTTGTTTACATGGAGGAATGCATGCGGTATGCCTAGAAAGATGTCTCTGAAATGTAAAATGACATGCACCCCACACTTTTCAGTGATTTAGCGAATATTTATGTTCTATGTCAAGAGTGATGCATGTACTGTAGATGCTGCGGCCGGTAGCTTCCATGAGTTTCAACACAATTTTGTCTTAATTTGTTTTTACTACTGGAGCACTCAGAACGGATCGGATTCATTCGTGGGGAGCGGACCTTGAGGCGGCCACCCAGCCAGACCTGCTGCACCAAACGTGAGTCGAGAGGGAGGAGAGATGGAAGCTAAGCTAACCCAGCTAGCATCTGAGGCTACACCTCAACCCCAGTCTGCTCCTGGTTAATGTCCAGTCACATGAAAATACAATCTAACCAACAGGAGGTCTGGGACTGTTGAACCCAGACTTCATCTCTCCTGATATCAAACTCTGCACTCTGAAGGAATATACAATATGAAATAAACTGAAATAAACAGCTTCAATGTATCAGGCCAAGAGGAACACACGACTCGAGGATGTAAAAGCACTGCAAACTGCTCCGGCACAAAAACTGATTAAATGTCTGTCATTATTTATTGTTAGTATTCTTCCAGGAAGATGCTGCTGAACATCAGTCACAGATAAGGCAGTAAAGGACAGAAGCAAATGCAGTATTCGTTTATCATAAAGTTAACGGGTAGGGTAAACTTTCAAACGGCAGGTCCAGTCATTTAGTTTTTATTTCCCAGTGGTGTTCCTTTAAGCATTCAAATCTGAGCATTTACATTTTGGTCAAAGTTCATATGTTTAAGTGACAAAATGCTGTTTTCCCCAGCCCTTCTAAAGCTAACCTAGGTTTCTGCATGATGATGTTGCTACATTTATACTATACATATCCCTGTCCATAGTCGGAGTGTTTAGAGAGCTGCAGGGATGACACATGTCGGCTGACAGGAAGTCATCACTGGTTCCCAAACAGCCAATGAGATTCTTCCATTGGATTTTGGACTATTGTAGAAAATAATCTCTGTGGCAAACAAATGTTTATGATTCTTAAAGGTTTTGTTCAGGAACATTATCATGTTCTAGTGAGGACGTTTAGCCGTCTCATTTAGACACTTTAGGACATGTAAAAGCTGCTAAACTCACCAGAGGGGCATTTACTGACCTATTTAATATCGTAAAAGTAAACATTTAAATCTCTTCAGCTTGTGGTCAACACAGACCTTATTTTAAACATCTAACCAAAAACACATTCAGAAAACACATCGACTTTGAGAGAACAGGACGTGTAAACATGCTGACTCATGCCTGTAGAACTCGATTACCTACAGTAACTAAAATGGACAATTATTCGAGTAGCCCACAGTGCTATATGATCAGGTTTCACTTTATTATAGATGACTAGTGAGCCTGTTACCGTGTGCATGT